AGGAGTGCAATGTCTGTAGGCAACTGTATGCGATCAACGGGCCTCATGTTCATCGCTAGAGGTAGTTTATTATGTGGTTAATGAATTTTAGGAGAAAATGGAAGAACACCCTGCCCACGGGTGACCGAAAACGTGGCAGTATCGAGGAAGATAGAAGCTAGCTCTTGGATCACAAAATATTCGACGGGACCCGGGCACACGGAACTGATAATCACGCGAACCGCGGACTCCTTTTTATCCAACTCACACTATATTAATAAGCCCACTGAGTTGCCAGCTCCGTATTTTGTGACGAGACTTTGTCTAGGCACAGTAATTAGCCACGTGTAGTGGACGCAAATAACAAACGGTTCCAGAGGCAGTGGACCGAATTGCCGACCAATCATTTCGCCGACAAGCGAAAACGATGATGAAATTTCACCAATTAACGACTCGGATGGGGCAAAAGTCGGCAATCATATAATCAAAAACACGAGTTCTTCTAGTTGATTTAAGCGTATGCCCGTATTTCAAACGCAACCCCTAAATACTGCACTGTTTGCGTCAACATCCTTATCCTCAACGTCATCTGCAGCTCCCTCCAATGCTAGGTTGGAGAAAGGATTCGAACGACACGCCCATAAAGTTTACGCCTCGTCGCTCTCATCCTCTACCTGCTTCCTGGCACTCCCCTTTTTGCTTCTATCGGTACGATGAAGCAAGGTCGGTTGGCGGAATTTTAAGAAGACTAACAATGGCGGGTAGGTGCTAAGGTGGTCGAGGGCTGTCTGCACATACAGCATGTTTGTCCACCTCGGCTGTGCTAAACACTGGGGTCTTTCCTGAATTTCCATAATGTGATATGGTCTATTCTATCCACACTATAAAACAAAGGATTATACTCTATGTGTATCACATTCCAAACATAAGTATTCACACTCATCCTTACAAATGTTCCTCATTATCACGAATAAAAGAGAGTATTTGCGCCGCAGGTTTTTTTTACAACGAAGATGGACGCGTGGTTACTGGGACAGTAAGTGGAGTATCGAACATGCACAGATAGCCAGAGACCGTAAGCGTTTGACAACAGATGGACGGCTTTTGCAGCCAAACGAAGAAGGGGAGTGGGTAGGGTTGAAGAAAGCGAAGATGGTATTCATGAGTAGGCTGAGTCCATGCCGTCTCACGAAGTCATGGCGATGTGCACCTTTGGTTGGCAATTGGGTCACGTCTTTTAGCTGCGCGAACGAGGCGCGTGATAGTGGGGTTGTATGTAAACATGTCGGGTGAAGGACTTAGAGTCTCAGACACCCAGGCAGTCAGCGGATTTGGTGTTTCCTCGTTCGGTTCGCCATGTATAATTGCAAGAACAATTATAAAATGTGTTTGATAGACGACACCATATTGCTGACCTCCGCATTTTTCTTTGGCTGCTTCTAGTACGGCCTCAAGTGAGCATTGTCCCTCTCACTCAGCAAATGCAATACAGGAGACCCTTCTACGCGGACTGTCGCCTCTCACTGCGACCGATTGTACCCGTTGACTACACTTGGTACTTCGAAGGTCGAGTCTTCTCTCGTGGTGAACGTCTAAGCATTCCGGAACTCAATGAGCACACGATGGGTGACTACACCTGTCAGGCACGATTCAGACCAGCGGACGGTTCCACTGTGGAAACGACGGCGAGTATTTCTCTGCGGTATACTCCTCCACTTTCCGCTATTCGTGAGGGTAAGTATAAGTAACGCCTTCCTTTTTACCTTATTCAAGAACCATCTCTCTTGTGCAGCTTTTGTTTTATCGCAACTACATGCCCCCTGTTAATTCTGGCACTATACTTTCAAACGTTTTTGAGAAAAGCGGTAACATTCCTGTCATTTAGTATGTAATGTGAGCACGCGCCTATGTAAGGGATTCAAGGAAATTTTTAAGTTTCTGATCCAACTCACGCTGAATCTGTAAAAAAACACGCTTACTTTCTTTGGTCTCGTTGCTTTGCCAATTTTGATCCGTAATGTATGCAGTGGTAGATAGACGCTCACTGAAATGTTAGCCGTGGGGCTCTCTCTCGACATCATGTTCTAACCCTTGGGTTGAACAAAGATGACAGCCAGGAAATGTCGAGATGCACTCTTACATTTTAAGGCAAGTTCTACCAGACCGTCGTCAGAAGAAATGAAAGGTAGAGTCAGGGCTTGTCGCACCAGAACTTTTGGTGGGGCAGAAGGACAACAGATTATGGTGCACGTGTTGGGGAAGGGCCCATCAGTGACTTTCCACCTGGCTGAGTATGAATAAGCAAAATATTGTTTTAAGATAGGTGAATATCAGTGAACCGTGCACGCAGACGTTTGATGTGCGCATCTAGATCGACATGACGGTTGCTGTTGTTTTGTCTGAATGCTATGGAATACAACTAACTTGTTCCTTACTTTCTCAGTGTTCACTTTTGTACATAATATAATAAAACATGCATACATAATATATCGTATTATAATAATTCATCCTTTATCCGAACTCTATGCAGTTTCATCCACATACAGGCAGCTGCATATCAGCAGGATTGCAGCCCTCTGTCCAATAATAATTGAAAATAAACTTCCATAATATTCCAAATGCCTCTTCGGACCATAAATTATCCACTAGCTTTGGTTTACTTTGTTTTGTTTTATGTGGCCTTATCGTTCGCCACGTGAACATTCGAAGAGCCCTGAACTCAAAGTCGTCCAAAATAATCTGTTATCTAAGTACTCTGATTAGCGTCAAGGCTCACCATCAATATTATATCATTCTGTCCAGTCTTACTTTCTACCGCGTTTGCTGCTGAAATAAAAGTACTTGCAAAAGTAATGTATGCGAAAAGAGAAAATGCGGACGGAGGCGTGGCTAGTATGCACAATAATACCACATTTAGCCATAATAATTGTCATATGTTTTCCGCAAGGGCAAATATCATGGAAAATATTGCCATTCTCTACATTTATTCGGATGGTGTTGGTAACGGCTGGTTTTTTTGCAGCCCCTGTGAAAGCGAAAGTGAGCATAGATCGGCTCACCGAACGAATGGAATACCAGAAACCTTTCTACGCTGACTGCGGAGTTAGCCCTCCGCAGCCAAATCCAGTACAGTACACCTGGTACTTCCAGGGACGGGTGTATTCTCGCGGAGAACGGCTAAGAATACCCGAACTGAATGAGCGCACTGTTGGGAATTACACCTGCCAGATTAAAATCATGCCCGCGATGGGTCCCCCTGTTGATGCAGCGGAGAGCCTATTGGTGAATTACAGTCAACCAGTTTCCGCATATATGCAGTCTGGTAAGGATCAATGGTTAATCACCTTTAATTCATTCAGTATATAATTGTTATAGTTAACATCTTTCATGGATCTCGATAATCCATTTTTGGCA